CGAATCCAAAACTCTCGAACAGAGAATATGTAACTTTCATTTCCTTAGCTTTTAGAGTTAAACACTTTTCTTTCTGTAACTCGTGTGCTTGCGCCCCTTGGAGACACGTTGTTTTTCGTTTCCAATTGTAAAGTTCATCGCAAATAAAAGAACACCCCTTTTTGGGACTTTGTCTCAAGAGGTTTCGTCCCTTACACAATCGTCTGATCCTTTTTAATTGTTAGCGAATTAACCCGCGCGAAACACTCCCACTATGTCCCCCAATTGAAGGAAAATTGACACCCAAACACACCAGTCTGTTCTAATCTAGAGCACAACAGCTACATTGTTACCTTGTTCACCCATCTAACACTAAGCACATATCTCAAACAAGCTCTGATACCACTTGATGTAAACAAATTTAATACTCCAATCACCATTGGTGTCCATATTTCTTTAAGGCAAAATTCTGGAAGAAAAACCTGAAAGTTATGAAGCTAGAAAAATAAAACTTGATGCTTTATTTGATAATAATGTTCTACCCCTTTCTTCCAAGTACATAGACTCTTTTTAGTCATCAATGACTTCTAGATATTTAAAATGACCCTTAGAACTACTAAAAGCGTCGGATCTCTAAATTCTCAAAGGCCCTCCTGGAATTCCTTCCAGAGTTGCCCCTCATTTTTCGAGAATCAGAAAGATCATTTTCAAATTTGAATTTGTTAATTTGGTAATGGATTTATGTATCGGATTCCATTCACCCACGGTTGGGAACTAATGATTATTTTGCAAAGTCAAAAATTTATAAATTTCAAATCATAATTAAAACTGAACTAAGACTTGACTTTTTGACTCCTTAATTAAGACATTAATTAATTCTGCATGAAAATTGCAAATAAGGAAAGTTCAATGGTCTCCAATGTAATTAATATGTCAAGATCGGCAATCTTTTTAGAGAGAGCTTAAATTGTCGAGAAAACTAACGAGAATGATGCATGCATTCCGGTGCCAATGTGATGGGAAGATTTGAATGCATTACGTATGCATCTAAGAGCGAATTTAGAAAAAAAATTTAAGACGGGCTAATACGCAAAAAATCCAAAAAAAAAAAAGAAAACCAAAAAAAAGTTACGCGAAAAAAATTTGTTTTTACTTAATTTTTTTTAAAGGTGAATTGGGCTAGGAGCCCATCCTCCCAATCCGCCAATATGTGGATCGAGTCTAAAATCTTGTAAGGTAAGGAGCCTAGAGATTTCATTTTAAATTGTTGACCTTATCAGAACAATAAAGATTGTTATATGTTGATTATTATTGTATTTAAGAAATATAAAATTTTATGTTCAAAATGTTTCCAAAAAATGATGACTCATTTGAGAACAAAAATCTTAAAACCACTTTAAACATTTTTCAGATCGATTGCTGGTGCCTGGTTTGAGGTTTTATTTTAAAAATCAACGTTATGAGTAGTAACACAACCGTATATATACCTTTGATTGTTTTTGTCATATTTAACCACATAAAAGTTTACCTTTAAGCATGTTTACATGGATGAGGATGGTTTTTATCCTATACAATGTTTGGTGTTAACAATACTCACATAATATTTATCTGAGTTGTTGATTTTCCCTTAGTCATAGCATATTAACTTAATTCATCACATGAAATAGGTCAAGATCGAATTATTCGCTCCTCATAATTGATGTCTTGAATGATAGTATATTATTTATTAGTAAAATTACTTATTGACACTAACGTTATTGACACCAACGTTATAGTTACTTTTAGTAAAGAACATGGAAGGTTACTTTACTTTCAAGTAATTAAGTAAATTTTAAAATACAAATATATATTTTTTTATGAACTTAAAAAGATGCAAGTTACCTATTTTTATTGTAACATATGAGATACAATTGAAAAATAACTTTTATATATAAGTAAATTTTAATAGTATTTTCATTAATCAAAATTAAAACACAATAAATTTTTTATTTTGGCCGCAATGAAAAATTTATATTTTTAACTAAATAAGTATGTTCTCAAAGAAATAAATTTTTATTAATGAAAGTTAGAAATAAGTTACTTAAGTTGATGGTAGTTGAGAGGTACTTTTAGTAAAGTAACATTTAGCATCTGTCTGAAACTGATTTTCTCCAGATTTTTATAAAAATTCCCACCGTTGGCCACCGTAATTGTTGACCCATTCTCTCATGCGTCGGTCCCAAATGAGAAAAAAAGATCGCATTTCCACTTAAAATCAAGCAAAAAAGCAACACCAGATTATCTCTTAGTTATAGTAAATAAGCAAGTTTCAATATAAATAGCTTCTTTAAAATTCAAATTGAGAATAAATAGGTTACTTATCTTAACAATAACACAATAATAGGTAGATGACTTATTCCTATATGTTTTTAGATTATTAAAAAATAAATTACTCAATAGTGAACAAGAAAATTTTAAAATAAACAATCATTTTTATTAACAAAACACAACCATAAGAGTTACTCTTTAAAAGTTACTTAACTACCTTCAATTTTAGCCATAAATAAGGATTTTATATTTCTAACAGCATAATACCAAAGAAGCAAGAGATACTGAAAACAATTGACTTCTTGCCTTAGCTTCCACAAATGTAATCCACACACTATATTAAAACATTATATAAAAATCATCTCTTCTAATCGTTTCACGTGTTCCAATACGGAATACCAAACAGACAACCTTAACATACGGCTCGTGTGCTAGACAATTATATGGGTGACATATATTTTCATATGAATTGATCTTTGCTGAAAACCCAATGAGAATTAGATTCTTACTCTGATATAGGATTTAAAAATAAAATAAATTCAGCTGCCAGATATTCATCTTCCATACTAGAACTGAACTGTGGAAAACCTATATTGCCATTTTCACCTTTGTGAACCTCCTCTACTCACAACATGCCTGAAAAAATGGCTTCTCTTTAATCAAACTGATGAAATAAACACCTATACATAAACAGCAAAAGAACCCTATTCCCATAAATGGGTGAAACACAAACATTATCCTCCTCACGTTCAATAAATTCCACGACTGCCCTACCGAAGAGGTTGGGGTGGCAGGGCCATGTCTCCAGCTGCAGCATGTCTCCTTTGCCGCTCGCGAAGAAAAAGGATTGCCAGCAGGCAGACAAAGAGTGTTAGAATTGTTGCATTTCCTTCCTCCATAATAACATCCTTCACCCAAGCCTCCACTTTAGGAAAAACTTCAGGAAGTCCATCAATCATACTGATCTAGAGGCAAAAAGTGAACCAATTCAGTCAACATATCAATCAGGGAAATCAGGAAAAAAAAAAAAAAGCATGAAAACTACAATATATGTTAATTAGTATATCTTGATAGAGTTAAGTGAACTCATAAGTACACGGGGCCACACAAAATAGAGGAAATGATGATCAAGAATCTTTAAATACCACACACAAAGGGGCAACTAGCTTGACCAAGTCTTCTCGTGGTAAAGACTAGGAAAGGACGACGGTTTAAATAGAAGGGCAAACTTTTATGTAGTCCACCAAACTACAGAACTGACTACTGAGTAAAGAAAAAACAAGACATTTTCCTCAGTTTTGTAATCCAAACCGTGCAAGACATTCCTTGCATGAATAACATGATGTGCGATAACATTAGTTTCAGCATAGACAGGAAATGAAGATCATAAAAAATTCTGGACAATTTTTGCCGAGTGCTAAAATTCAAATGTTTTTCCTTGCCATGCCATTGCAACAGTTAATAAAAAAGAGCCATCTTTAAGAATTGGTCAATCAATGAGTCAGGAACCAGAAAAACATTTCTAAAGGAATAAATTTACCAATCATAAAATTAAACATCATATGATTGCCCTGCTTTTAAAAATCTCAAGTAAACAAGATACCACACGCTTGCCTGGTCGCTTCAGTTCCAATTGAACAAGAAAGTCAGCATTATGTCAACAAATGTACAACTCACCATGAAACCGTTGGCATAATTCTTTCGCATCCACAAGCTTGCAAGGGCTAGTGTTACAGGCAACTTAGCCGCAGGTTCAACTTCTAAGGCTTGATCATAGTAACGCTTCGCAAGGTGAAGATCAAATGGTACTCCTAGCCCGTGTTCATGCATGTATCCCAGGTTGAAGATGGCCTGCGCATTCAACTGAGATTTGGCTTGCATATAAGCCTCTGCCGCGCGAACATAATCTCGTTCTGTACCCTGTGAAAAGAAGAAAAAATAAAAAATATGAAGGAAGATGGAAATCTAGTAAAACAGGAATTTAGTACATTAACCAAGGATCGGGCACACAAAGTCAAGTGACTTACAAAACCTATATATCTGTTAAATGAAAAATAAATAAATAAATACCCGGCCATAGTAATATGCATCCCCTATAAGCAAAGCAGCTTGTTCGTTACCCTGCTCAGAAGCTTGCCACCATAAGGAGTGAACACGCTGATGTCTTTCAGCATCTGTGCACATCCCCGACTCTCCCATGCACATAACATGTTCTCCATATTTGTCAAGGATCCATGCTGCGTTACTTTGTGCCACCTCATACCCCATCTCTGCCATTCTACTGTACAAAAGGAATGACATGCTGACATCACCTTTCAGATACGACTCTATTGCCCATCTAGACAAGGAAGTCCATGGTCCACACTCTGCAACTATTTTGTATAACTTAATTGCCTGAAATTAATACATGAATATTACTATGTGCCAAGATTGATTGGTTTTGAATAAAGGTATAAAGTGGATTGGGGTCTACCAGCCCAGCAAGGTAAAGTACACCAGCCTCTGAGAAAGACCCGAAAGATGTGTCATGCTGGCAGGCCAAGGTTCTGAGAGGTTCAAGAAAATATTTTGGCATTTTTGGATTTATTTTCCATTTTACTCATTTATTTATTTATTATTATTATTATTTTTAAAAGGTTTCATTTTCTAAATACTACTGTAAAATTTAAACCAATGTTTCCTTTGGTCGTGGCGGGCATGGGATGAAATGTGGGTTGTGCAGGCAGCTTGACACCTATTTTAAAAACCCTTAATTTGGTGGGGTAAAAAAGGTTAGAGACCAGAGTCCAGGAAGAAAGAAAACTACACATGCTGTGAGAAGGATATCAGAGAATATTATATAAAATCTAATGAGGATGAGTCACAGTTTTTTCGAAGCTGTGTGAATACAGAACATACTTATAGTATACAGCCTGAAAAATTAAGCTTTCCAAAAGATAAGCTATATTCAAGTAAGTGATAAATTGGATAACACTTAATATTGGGTGAATGAGAAGACTCAGAATTAGCTTACCGTTGGAAGATTCTTCTTCATCCCCACACCACTATGTAACATCTTTGCCAATTGGTAGAAAGCTTTTGGTTGGCCTGCTTTAACAGCTGCCAATATATATCTTCGTGCTATCTTCAAATCTCGCTTCACGCCAAGGCCCTTGAGATAAATTACCCCAAGATTGTAGAATCCACCTGGTTCTTTCTTGTCAGCAGCTTTCTCAAAATATTCTTTGGCCTGTAACAGCGGAGTTATGATTGACTTGAGTGAGAAAATGTGTCTTTACAGTTTAGATATAGCTATGGAATGTAGAATGAGTTGATTGTTATGATATAAAATCAGGTTGGGGAAGCGTAAAGGAAAAACCATATCTTGTCTCAACAAGGAAAAGAAGGAACGGTAAGAATATATAGAAACATATGCACAGAAAGCAAACATGGCCAAACAAAGAAGCAGCACACAGTAATTAAAATCACTTCTTCCCTTAGTGCCTCCTCCCCAACACCCCCCCCAAAAAAAAAAAAAAAAAAAAAAAGAAAAGATGATTTTTACCTTCGTATAGTTCTTTTCCACTCCGTAACCCTTGACATATAAATATCCCATCCCATTGTAAGCTGAATAAAGTTTCCGTTCAGATGCTAGGGTAAGCCATTCTAGCGCCTTGGTGTAGTTCTTATAAAATCCCACTCCACTTGTATATATCTCTCCAAGAAGTTCCATTGACCTAGGTTCACCCTTTTGCACAGCCTTCAAGAACCACCTCAATGCCTTTGCATGATCACTCCTTACTCCCCTCAAACCAAAGTAATAAAATATTCCGACTTGATACATGGCTTCTGCATCCCCTTTCCGTGCCTGATATTCCAAAATTTGAAAGTCCTCATCCTCCTCTCCTTTGGACTTCCTTAGAGCTTCCTTATTTTCTTCTGGGCCGTCATGGATCCTAATTGTTTCAATTAATGAGTCCTTCAAGATGGGAAAACTATTCACTGCTACCTCTGCCAATTCAGCGTACAGATTAACTGCCTTATCATGCATCTGCAAAATAAATTAAAAAGAAAAACCATAAAAAATTATTATCATCTTTGGAGAAGTATGTACAAATTTACGTTAAAATAGTCTCAGAAGGATTTTACTCATAACCTCAGTGCTTATAACCCAAAATTCTGACATTTATCGCACATTTGCAGTCAGGATGTCTTTCTTGTTTATGATATTACTTGAGAGCATTGGAGAGAGAGAGACCAACACAACCTCATTTTCTACCTATTTTTTTCTGAGACGTGCCCAGAAATTTAGGCTCAAAAGGCAAACAAGTATTGAATGAGCAGGTGCTCAAGATGATGGGTTGGTATGGATGGACATAGTAATCAGATACTTTTCTTACAGACTATATGAAAGCATTTGATATGCCTAAAGTTAAAGGCCAATTGTTCCAAACTCTTAGTCCCTTATTATTGATATGAAATTTAAAAACATGATTAACCGAGCAAATCTTGTCATAAAGGGAAAAGGCGATTATTATATTGAAAAGCAAACGTATATCTAAAGCCAATTTTTGGATCATTTCTACCGTCATCATATAATCGTTATTTATCACTAAAACTTCCTCAACGGTAATATTTGTATTTTAAAATCATACAACAAATGCGACGAAAACATAGTTTGAAGTAAATTTTTCTCTCATATATCCTTTTTAGGCAATTTTTTCTATCCAAGTAATATACTAAGTACTGCTATTTGCTAAAGGTAATATCAGGAAGCATATTCTTACACAACCATGGATAGATAAATATAAAAGGAAATACAAGCTTTTATGAATATCTGGTTATAACAGAAATAAAAGATAACTTCTCTTTAAGGACCCAAGAAAACCAAATGACAACTAGGAATTTGTAGATATGCATTACCAATAGAAAGTTAGGCAATGTAGAAAACTTCCTATTTGGGACTGATATTAGGAAACAAATGGCTTGTAATCAATTGCATGCCATGGTGATGTGTGGGATACAATTCAAGCAACAAGAACTTGAATTTCAATTACTAAATTTACTTTGTTTCACCACAATTTAAAGCAGCTAAATAAAGGAGCTGTACATCAAATCAATAAGAGAAATTTCCTTTTGCAGATCATATAAATTTATATTACCACATCTTATTCAACTTGGAGACATCAATGCTAGCATAAGATCCAGAATCTCAGTCAGCTTCAAATTAAGTTTTTTTAACACATCCTAGTAGAATTGTAGTTTAAAAAACCTCGGAAACAGGTAAACTTATCAACAGATTCTATATGCTCTCTTTTTTCAATTTCATTTAATTGGTCTTTGTTATAGGATAACAAGATGGTTAGAAATCCTTTATTTTTTGAACATAATCGCTCTTTTGATTTCGGAACAAAACTTTCTTTATCAATATAATTAATTGTTAACATAGGTTTCCCCTTAACATAATATTCACACGCCCTGAGTGGAAATATGTTAATCCATCAACAAAGATGATCACCTTCAGAGGTTTCGTATACAATTTTTAGGAATTCAAATTTTCCTAATAACATTTTAACAAACTACAATCTTTTACCATTAGTCCATCATAAATCATAGTGTGATCAATGATCATAGTTACTGAACCCCAGAAAACCATATTAAGTATTGTATTGGTTAGTCGTAAAACCCCCATAACTCTCAACAGTTGTGACAAATACCAGAAATCTTCAGTCTTCAAGTGCCTAGCTTTCCAACGACAGAATTCATAACCTTTCAGTGAAAGCTAGACTCTTCACACATAGAAAACTATCAACTTCCCTTGAACACTCTAGCTCTAGAGTCAATCATTAACCGAAAAGGATACAAAAAGCTTCACCATACATAATCCTGATGTTTTCAACACTTCCCATAACATAAAGGCATTCCCAAAAAACCACCAATTCATAATCTTCCGGTTACTGCACCTTCCAAATCATCATTTATTCGACCTCAAAGTTCGAAATTTCTCAATTGGATGGTAGAAATGCAAAACCTTTTACTCGTATCCTTCTATCTATCAATCAATCAATCGACCAATATCAACTTTAAAACTTACCTCCTGACGGTAATAAGTATAAGCCAGTGCCATCTTGGACTGCAAATTCCCACCATCAGCTGCAAAAGAATGATATAAAAACGCCTTAGCTTGGCTCATCTCCCTAGTCATTCCCATGTTATACCAAAACCCAATCACCGATTGCGCGTGGGGATTCCCCGCCGCAGCAGCCGCCTCAATCTCAGACACGGCCTCCTCCATCACCCTGTATCCCCCACCACTCCCCGCCTCCAACATCTTCCTCATCCCCTCACAATAAACCCTGTCATAATCTTTATTATCCTCATTATTGATTATGCTGGTGCCATTGACACAAGCAGGGGATTCCAATATGTCGGACCATGAACCCGGGTCGACGATAGTGTCATAGTCGGGTTCGGAGCCGTGGAATTCATCGGAATCGGAGTATGAGCCATCGTCGTCATCTGGGGCTGAAACGGCGTCTGAGAGATCGTCGAAGGGGAGGAGGAGGACCATTGAACGGGCATATAAGGGAATGGGAAGAACGGCGATAAGTAAAAAAACAAAGTACAACTTCATCGTCTGGATTTAGCAATTAACCGGCGGCAGACTCAGCTCGTTCTTTTTCAGAACTCTCGGGTTTAATGAGGATTAAATTAGAAATGAAGTAAAAACTATACGTAAGTTTTGCCACGTCAACATGGGTGTTGAGCACCAGTAGGGATGTGCCAAGTCATGGGGTGATTATGTGGTTTCCTGCCTACAAGAACGACGATAAGTACCATAGTCATTGTTGTATCAAAGTCAAAGAAAAATTACCAAGCTCGCCTTCAGGGTACATTCCAACTGATAAAGATGAGAACGCTTTAAGATTGACAGATCAGAGGTCGTGAGTTCGATTTCTGAAAGACTCTTGGAAGACAAATATTCTCCTGAAAGGCTGGATTTATTCTAGAAGGCAGGAGCTCTACTGGAAGGCAATGTGCAAAGATGGGAAACGACTTGCTTGGCACTCTGACAGATTAATTGGGGGGCTCTTGAGAATTGGTCAATTTAGGGCACAACCTGTGGTTTAACCTGTCTGCAACTTGAGGGGCCAAGGTGTAGACTCCAGGATTTAGTCATTGTAAGGTGGATAACTGGATATAAAAAAAAATTACCAAGCCCCGTTTGTTTCTTATTATTTGTCCATTAAAATAAAAAATATGATCGTTATCTATCACATCAAGTCACCATATTTGACATTCTATCTCTTGTATAAGGCATGTAACGATTATATTTTTCATTCTCATTTTAACATTAATATGTACCAAACGAAACCTTAATGTTACTTAGCTCCAGTAATACCAATAGATTCACTGTATTTAGCTAGAGCTCAATAAAGAAACCATCAAATCACAAAATCGAATCTCAATCGCTTTTTCAAAATAGTTGATTTGGATCTACGTGGATCCATCAATATTTTGATTTAGATTTGAATCAAACCTTAATGTTACTTAGCCCCAGTATTACCAATAGATCACTGTATTTAGCTAGAGCTCAATAAAGAAATCATCAAATCACAAAATCTAATCTAAATCGCTTATTCAAAATAGTTGATTTGGATCTACGTGGATCCGTCAATATTTTGATTTAGATTTGAATCAAACCGCTTCGACAAGGTTTAGTTAAGGCTTCAATCTTTTTAAACCGTCAAACTATTTTGTAAGAAAAATTAAAAATAAATTAATTTAAATTTTATTCGACCCAATTAAAAACTAGATACATCCCAATTAAAAAAAAATGACCCTGTTTGGTGCCCATTTTTGTAAGAATGAAAATGAAAAGTATAGCAGTTATCGTACTCATACAAGAGATAGAAAATCAAATATGGTGGTTTGATATAATGGATAAAAGTCATATTTTTCATTTTTGTAGCCAAAGAATGAGAATCAAACTATATATATATGTCCAAGGAGTAGATTCTTTTGCCATTTCTATTTGCCAAAATTCAGATTTACAATCAAATTTAGAAAATATCTTATTATTTTATATTTTATTTATTAGCATATCCTTATCTGGTATTTTATATCCATCTTCTTCAGTATTGTCGTTTAATCTTTTATAGTTTATAATCATTCTTGCTTTTCCTCTTTTTATTTCACTATGATTTCTAACCATAAATGCTGCCGATCTGTGTTGACTGCTAGACAGTCTTATTACTTTTAAATCTAATAATTCTTTAATCTGTATGTTAAAATCTTCTGTATCCTGATTCGTATGTTTTATTTCTGTTGTTCTAATTTTTATATTTTCATTTATTATTTCTAATTTAGCTTCGATTTTATTTTTATCAAAACGTTTTATAGGGTATTCTCCTATTGTTTGAATCTTTTCAACTAATTCTAAAATTTTATCTATACTACCTATCTTAGAATATGTCTTGTTAAAAATTATTAATTCCTTATTTCTTGGTATAAAATTTGTTTTTAAAGTTTTTAAAGATAAATTATCTAAAAATTCTAAATTTTCTTTAATTTTTGGGTCTGGTTCTGGTTGTAATGGTCCACAACACTTAGCTCGTAACTCTGATGATTCTATAGTATCAATAGAAGTGTCTTTTCCAAAAATTATAACATCAGGAGTAATTGTTAAACTTCCATTTCTACTAAGCAATAATTTTATTCCTATAACAAATTTATCTTTTATTAATGCGCTAACTAATGTAGCCGTTAAACTATACCGTCTTTCTTGAAATTTAATCTTATAATCATCAAAAAGTCTTTCTTCGAATCTCATTTTACTATCGTCCATTTGACTTCCTCTTATTTCATATTCTAATTTCTGTCTACAATCTTTTGGCACTAAATCTTTTCTGATTATATTAAATGTACGTGTCTATTAATGCTATCTAATTTAATTTTATTATTTTGTTTATCTGTACTTCTCTGGATATTTTGATACTTTTTATTGTCTTTACTCTAGATAATTGACAAATTATTTCTTCCTGATTTTCTATTTCTAAATAATTATTTTTTGTGTAATTATCTATAGGCTATTTGCCTTTTGTTTCTAGATTTCTGATCATGTATTGTATTTCTCCTAATGTTTCGTGTATTTTATCTATTCTATTATTTGTATCTATTATGTTATTTTCCATTCTTTCTATACTCTCATTATAGTCTTTATTTTTATTATTATTTATTTCTTCTAAACAATTATTGCATTGAATTTCTAGATAATTCTTACACTGATTTCTATTTTTGTGTCCTAGGTATATTCTACATATTTTACATTTATCCATCGTTGACCCTTGTCCTCTAGTCCATTCATGGATACATTTTTGTTCTACATTTATTATCTTTATATTTAAAATTGAAAAATCTAGTTCTTCTAAATTATTATAATTGTCTTCAGAATTACTTGTTATTTATAAATTATCCAACTCTTCATCCGTGTAAATACTATATACTGAGTTACAAGATTCATTATCAGATAATTCTATTATGTTACATTGTATTTCTTCAATTATCATAGATTTAGCTGCATTTTCTTTACTTTTATATTTATTTGAGCATTTGTTAGCAAAATGTCTAGAGTTTCCACAAATATAGCATTTAAAGTTTTTTTTAGTTTTTGAGTTTCTAAGATATCTATTATAATTGGGTCTTTTATTTTTATAGTATATCCTACTTGGTCTAATATTATATATTTTTTATTTTGATATTGCTTTTTATATTTTTGTTTTTTATTTTTTTATACAATTTTTTCTTTCTTTTTCTATAATCATATTTCTGTAGTGTATATAAATTTGAGCAAAAAGAATAATCTAATTTCTTTATTTTATTTCTAGCTACTTCTTCTACGCAATATTCTTTCAATTTATTGATTATAAATTTTATAGTGACACTTATAGTTATTTCTTTTGTTGGGTTTGACTCTACATCTTTTCTAATTTTATCATTCCACGGTGGTGGTATCTTTCTATATAATCTTTTAAGTATAGGGTAATCTAATGCTAATCCTTCTGCGCTTGCTAATCTTTCAAAATCTAACAAAAATGGTTGTATGTATTTCATATTACTAATACTTAATTTTTCTAAGTCTTCTAAAACTTTATTTTGTTTATAAGTGTTATCTCTACTGGGATCAGAATTTATAATTAATTCTCTAATAAAGCTTGTAAAATTTCTAGGATTATCTCCTCCTGTCATTCTTAATCTAATTTCATTTGGTTTTAATCTTTTTGCTGTAACATATACATCTAAAACAGCCTTTCCTAATTAAGTTTCTAAATAAGCCCACATTTCTTCTACAGTCATTTGTATAGATACACTATTATACGCTCTAATTACAGAATTTTTCCATTTAATTATAGTATTAGGCCAGTCTTGTAGTTTACAATTATTTAACTCTAAGATTAATCATCTATCGCTTGCTAACAGTAAACTATATCCTTCTTCCGTTTGTCTTTTTCCTAAGCTTTTATATGTTTTATCAGTTCATTCAAAGTCTCTTGTAAGGGGAAAATGATATTTACCTCCTATATCTTATTCTGTATTCATGGGTTCTTTTCTTTATCCAAATTCTTGATATGTTTCTCTTTTAGCTCTCTTGCTATTTTCTTCCATCTTGGTTTCTATATCTACTTGATCTTTTTCTATTAACATTCTAGTTTCTATTTCTCTAGTTTTTCTAAAATTTCCGTAATATTCCATATCTATATATCCAAATTATTTTTCATCGTCCTCACTTTCATCTTCTTCACTTCCTTCATCTAAAGCATTAATTTCGTCTTCACTTTCGTAGTCTTCTATTTCAAAATATCTACATTCTCCTTCATTTTCTTCTTCATTATATTGTGTCTATTCTTCTTGATAATTATAATTTTCAAATCTAATACTTAAAGTTTCATTACTATTTTTGTACATAAAATTATTTTCGGGTACTAATATTGGTTTTTGTAGAAAATTTCCTAAGTTCCAGTCTAATCTTGCATATGTTTCTCAAGAGAATTTCTTTGATGGGATAGCCTTTAGACGTTTTTATCCTAATAATGTAATTATTTGATTATTTTCTAATTTATAATTAGTAGTACTATTTTCACTAAGCCTTCCTATGAATCTTGTGCAAATTAATAAATTATCCTCGTCTCTTTTCATTTGATATCCTTTACTTTTTATTCCTATTTTAATATCTTTATAGAAATTCTTTGTTCTAACTAAATAGTCTAGTGTTAAATATACTATTCCGTCTTTATTATTTATATCTAATTCTATGCTTCCTAATAATCATTGTTCTATATCAGTAAATCTGCTATCATATAAACATACTAATACTTTAACTCCTAAATTTTCTCTATGAAACCCTTTTACTTCTATTATTATTAATCTTAAATGAGTCTGTTGAAAATTTTTATTAACGATTTCTTTATAAAATTCTTTTTCTATTAAATTTAGAGATACAAATTGATCTTCACATGTACATGAAAATATCTTTCTCCATAATGTTGATATATTAAAGATTTGCGAAATAAATTTCCTTTTTTATATATGTCTAAAGTTTTTACTAATTTCAGTTTATTCTGTCTAAATATTTCTATTTGTTCTTCTACATCTATTAAAGATTCTAGTTTTGTTTCAGATTCTGTTTTTCTAATTAATGTTCTTAATGAACGATT